ATTATTGTTTCCGTTAGCATAAATACACCAAGTACCTTAACTTTTGCGAATGGTTTACAACTACTCATATTACTTCAGTAGCATATTGTGTATTTATTTAAATTTCTCCCACCAAGCTGGTGAGCCACTAGAAATTAAAGTTAACAACAACTAGTACTGAGTTAGGGTCTAAGTGGAAACACATCTACTGTGTTGCAGGTATACATAGTCCAAAATTGTCATTACTAAACGGTTAACCTGAAGCTAGAAGTTAGGATAACGAGAAAACATTTTTTTCTTCAATAAGTTCATATGCCGAAAACTGTTGCCGAAATATTAGGGACAAATTTCAAGCAAAACAAATAAGACTTTGGGCAGTCTGTAATGTAAAATGCAGTGTGTTTTAGTATGTTTCTTAAATAAGAATAATCTAGAATAAGAGCCAAGTGAATCGGATAATCTAAAACGACACATTCAGAGAACTCAACACCTTTGTTCAGATTGAAAATACCATGATATAAAACAATGGTATTACCCAATATACTTCCAAATGTTGAACAGACGTTCAGGCAAACACACTAATAGGTGTATTTTCTGTTGACATCAAGAACATAATGGTTACCACAAGCGAATGAATTTCACATATTCTCTGGAAGTTATTCATTAACTTGGGAACCAAAGTTGTTTCAGTTACTGTCCAATTGACCTGGGAACATTCTTTTGTAAAAAAGGGTCAATAAATGTGTTTGTTGAAGGTGAACCAGCTCATCTGGTAAGCCAAGTACTTGAAATGACATCTAGTTCCTAGGTGCATAGGAATTCAGTGCTTTCAGGCATTCGAAGACTTCAGGTTTACCGAATTTCTGAATTGAGTGTCAGGTGTTTAACCTCCTCAATTTTAACTAGTGTGTTGTTTTGTCGAATCCTGCCTCACTCAATACTGTTTGCATAACTGAATATTATGACATACGCTTTATAGCATAATTTTCAAAAATTACTATACTGAGTTACTTGGTCACTTTAAAGTTCCTATTACGCATAGTTTGAGGATTCACTATTCAAGAACAAGAATTAATGAACAAAAAAGATGTCTATGGAAAACCTCTCTGCGAAAACCCTCCATTTTTGACTTATTTGACCAAGTAAAAGTAGTGAAACCATTTGGAATTCAAGGTGTACAGTTTGTTACTTCGATCATGGGCTTCTGTAGGGATTTGAATTAATTTTAGCTTTGATTTTGTCACGAATCAACCAACTAGAGTTCACAAAGTCGTCAGGGTTTGGGATGCAAACTGATGAAGAGACCCAAGCGAGAATGAAACAGCTGTCCAGTGCTCTCTGGTTCTCAATTATCATTAAATAACGTCGGTTCGTGGCGAAATCTGCATTGGAACACTTTGTTGTTTAAATTTGAATGTTATATTTTCAAATTAAAATTTCATGACCTAATCATTTATATTGGTCCAAAGAAAGTTTAAATATCTGATCTGTTGTTTCTTGGTGTCATTGTCAATTTACACAGACCAAACTTTATGCACAACTCTAAACATGTTTACTTTTTGTCGAGAGAAATTTAAAGAAATACACAATATGCTACTGAAGTAATATGAGTAGTTGTAAACCATTCGCAAAAGTTAAGGTACTTATTTTGCATTAATTCTTTAAAATGTCGGGAGTTTTAAACATTTTCTAACCATTAATTAACGCTTTTCATACTAACAGTTGTTCATTTTAACACTATTCCTTTCCACTTCACTTCATCTTTAATATATTGTTACGAAATATGACAAATGAATTAACACACTTCTGTCTGTTTTTTTCTGTTTACCTGTCTGTTCGTGTATACGGAAGTTAGAAGCAATCGGTAGGATGCCCTGGACATAGGTTATGTGCTTAATGACATTCATCTGTTATTTCGAAGGAATTGATGATAATCCTGAGGTCTGAGCCCTCACCATATAGTGCCATAGTGTTACAGACATCACCACTGAGATATATATTTGGGTTCATGACTGGACTAGTGTAGGATGAATTGATTGATAATTCATCCATCTATTCTTTAATGCCAATGCTAACTGAATTCTGTCGGTTAAGTATCAGGCAAGTTAAGAGTATTTAACTTTAAGTATTAGCTACCAAGTGATTCATTAACCTAATTAACCTCTAGATTGACGTGACTAACAAATAAATAAGTAGACGCGGAGAGACAAAGAAAGCGACTGATTAATCTCTTAACATTATACATGAAATTCATAGTCGACTGTTTAGAATTTTGCACATAATTTATCTAAATTTTACGTCAAAAGACAACTATCCTTGAGGCTATGGATAGAACACTCCATCTAATGAGAAATGTAAGTGACTAATTCAGTCATCTCGATACATTTTTGTTTACTTGTCTTTTAAAAATCTACAATCTTATTTTGTTTACTAAATTATTGTCTACAATGAAATGAAAGTCTTTCTTTTATATTGAATGGTAGTTTGTTTGTTTGTTTCAATTAGTATTTTATGTAATAACGTGATGTAATTTAAAAGTCTAAAATAGTTGTTATTATTATTATTATATTTGTTATTTTCGAATAGAATACGGATTAATGAATGAAATTATATCTAAGCTACTTTTTTTCTCTCATGTGACTGTAAACAGTTCAGACATAATAACAGAAGAAGTATGATCTACGAACTTTAAATGAACTCTTAAGTATCACTTTGATCTGTCTAGCATAACTTACATGCCTGATTGTTTGGGCGGCTTTTCTTAAGCAACGTTATCTCATTCATTATTATCACAATGAGTACTCCTTATATCAAAGAGCATAGTCGTCTATAATACTCACTGAAAAACTGATCTGATACACAAAATATGAATGTGCATTCTGTGGTGTGTAGATTGTTTACAACTTGACTGAAGAGTTCTTTCGTGTTAAAATGGTTAATTTTATTTAGTTTGAAACAGTCTGACCCTCTAGGCTAGACTTACTGATTATACACATGATTGACGAAATTGGATATAAATAAATGAAATAATAGGTCTTGCTTGACTAGTGAAATCCGTGGGAATAGTTTTGAATAGTTGAGACTTTTCAAAGGTATTCTGCGTTATTCGATATTTATTGTTTGTGGTGCGTTCTTTCCTTTGGATCCTTAGTAATATGCGCATACTGGTCTTCTAATTGTCAACTAGGTTTTGATCTGAGCTTCAGATATACAGTGAAATAAAGCTACAGTACCTGAAAAATTGAAGGGTCCTTTTTAACAGCCTGCACTAATGAGGTGTAAGTCTTTATAGCATTGGTCCGTTAGGTAAATTTGAATTTACCTCATAAGATCTAATGAAGTGACTGTTGAAAAAACCTCATCACAAAGGTGTAGTCCACATTTGAAGTTTATCTGTTTGTTTTACTTTCGGTGCTCAAGTTTACTTCAAAGAAGTCTACTATCATGATTTGAAAGTGAGCACAGGATATGAGAAAACTAGAGAATTCTGACCACACTTGTCTATGCTGAAGTGCTGACATGAGGTTGGATCACAAAAGCAGAAATTGGAGACTGTATGTAGTATTAGGTAACAATCACTGGGTAAATGATGAGGTTATATACCTTTACTGACTGATGTATAAGCGTTACTTATTCTAAGAAAGTAACTTCATTGATATGTACTACTATCTGAATTAAGATTGGTTTAAGAAAGGTTCACAATATGATGAATACTACTTCTAAAACCGATATAAGTAGTATATGGAAAAGTGATCGTTTTTCATCTGTAATTGATAAAGTTGTTTCAGAATGAACGAGGAACAAAATGTTGTAATGCTGAATAAAACCAAAATTTAGAAAAAACAGTGTATTCTTCAAAGAGAATGGTTGACAGTATTTGCAAACAATGAACTGCATCCATGGCTGATGATTTCACGGGTATTTATTATAAATAACGCTAGTAAACACAACATGTGTACTCATCTGTGACGGTTTAACATAATGTCTCAGAACAAAACCTGACATTACCCCTTGAATTCTTTAGTATCTGATATCCACCACACAGACAGGCTCACGATGAATATACAAGCCATCCCAGAAACCTAGGAATTAATGCTAAGATATTCAATATTGATATATTTAAAAACTTTTTTTGGCGATACACTTACGTGTATTGTTTATAATTGTCTCCATGGTGACATCATTCTTGGTAGGATGTGGCAGTGGATTGAACTTAAACACATATTTTCGATCTATAATTTCTGTTTCAGTTGTCACCTTGAGTGTAAGTGGCATAGCACCTTAGCGGATGCTGGTTCTTGATACATCTTGCCTCTCAAACAAGGAATGTTTGGAATGCTCTTTTAAAATCTCAAAATGTTATTTGTTATTTTAAGATGAATTCGTAATGATGTACTGACTTTTGGGTGGTAAACTGAACCGGTACAGCAATCACTTCACTTCCCTCGGAAATCATAACAATTCTAGTAATGTGGTGATCAGCATCATCTCCGCAAGAGTTTCAGTGTTTTTGTCTAGGACTGGCTAGATTTCGTCAGTTGCGGTTTCCGTGAAATATCTTAATTCTTATTATGGGTCAAGCATTCTCTACTTTTTTTAGTAGTGTTAATTTTGGTTCACATATATTTCATTCCTTGTGTTCCGGGTGGAACATAAGACTTCAAGCTTTGAATTCTCAGTAAAAGTGGTATTGTTTCCATAATAGGGTGGGATTGTTAACTTAACACCCAACCTTCCTACTTTTGTGGGCTTTCTACCAGATGACAAACTAGGGGATCTAACCTGACTCTCCCTTGTGGCTGCTGAGCATTCTTCTACTGAATCACTGACAACTGAAGTATGTGAGACTCATAAATTCAAAATGGATATTTTGATCGGTTATTCAGTGGTATTCTTTCATTCATAATTTTGTATTCTCTATGGTTACCATTATTTTCTTAATTTTTATTTTTACATGTATGTTGATAGAAAAAACGGTCATCTAATCTTATTACACCTTTTTTTCTTGCTTACTTTTTTAGCAACTGGCTATTTTCTGTGTGTTGTTGAAACAGCTAAAATATGTCATGGTCTCTGTCAACAACTTGGATGTAATGATCGATATTTTATGGGTGTTATTCCATCAAAAAGTGATAAAATCAAACGGAATTATCGTTGTCGTTGTTTTCCAGAATATCATGTTTGCTTTTATAATCCATTACCAAAAAAAATTTATGATATTGATTAATGCTAATAATAATAATAATAATGATAATGTTTGTCATGATATATATTTCATTAAAAGAATTAGCAAAATGAAAATTTGTACATAGTTCAAATACACATGTGTGTGTTTTTGTGCGAGTGTTTAAAGAAACAGTGCCAGGTAACATTTGTAATTTTGTGCAAATATTGTCTGTCTCATGGGAATGAAATGTTTAATTTATGTGTATCACAAATAGTTCGTTAAAGCTACAATACACCTGTCCTGCTCCAATTACCATATGCATTTCCGCTTTACTATAATCAAACAGAATCGAAATCAGCCTCAAAATATCCTGCTTGCTATAAGTCCGGACAAGGAGATGCATCTCATATTTATTCAATTCATTCCGTTATTGTATAGACATCGATGTGGTACAACGTACAAGTTAAGATGCATGTTTCAGTATTGCCTATATATATATATTACTCTGGGATTGAATACTTTTCAATATGTGATAAATTGAAATATGGTTCCATATATTCATATATACAGAAAGTTCATAGGATAAATTAGTGTTTTTGTAAATGTCTGTCGTTTGCCCATTCATATTCACAGTTTACTCCTAACACACCTTCATTATATTGTCAATACAATGTTGGTATTATTACACAGCAAAATTCATATTTGTACAGTGGGAAAAAAGTTGATAAATAAAATGATAGATGATAAAGAATACACTTTTTTTCAAACAAAAATTTGCTTCAGGTATATTTCAGAACATTTAAATCAGGAATATGAGACTAAACATTCGAACCATTTTGATACATATATAGTATGTATTGTGGAGTGTCAGTTACTACTGCTATAGACTACTTAGGAAACAAAAGTATTATAAGCATGAGTTAGTTAAAAGTTAAGCATTATTATTTAAAACAAAACATTTTTGAAAAAATTTGTTTTCCCATTTGTAGAAGAAGGGGAAAAAAATTGAAACTTTCTATTTTTTTTTGTATTTTACAGCTCTTTTCATTGTATTTTTTTAAATATGTTACTCCATATTTGTTTTTCTGATGTTGTTTTTTGATAATTGTTGAAATATTAGTTTGTTTATTGTACTCTTATTATTATTACTTTTATAGAGACAAACTTTACAAATACATTGTACACTATTATAGTTTAAAGTATTTTAAAGTAATATTACTATTACTATTATTTCCTTGGGTTCTGAGGTTTGTATAGGGCTTCAACACCATACCTCCATTTCACTCGGTTATCTGAAGTCTTTTTAGGGTGGTTGTATGAACACACATTAGGTCGCATTACCTCCTTACAGGATTTCTTTAGATATCACTCTTGGATCCATTCCCACCTCGTCGTTTCCTATTCATGTTTCACTGAAGAGCCTGATGACAAGTGTTGCTGAATGATCTGCTCATTGTATAACCAACTTATCTCCATTTCCTTCTGTATGTCTGCTGGACGATAGATTTATAGTTGTTTCTTCGTTAGAGCTTTTTGTTGCTTATCCCAGCCAAGTTTACAAGGTCACTAATTCACAGGCTGGTCCTAGTTCCGAGAAAAGAAGGGAGACTGGGTGTGTAGCTAGCAGTCCTATGCTGGAAGACCAGTCCAGTTGCTATAATAACTTCAAAGTCCAAAGAAATAAAATTCTTTTAAAGGAATTTTGATTTAAAAGTATGCGTCAGTGATTCACTGGCAGAACGCTCCTCAGCTACATGGGAGGTCCGGGTTCGATTTCCAATAAACATATCCCTAAACCCCGCCCAACCAGTAGTAATCCTTGGAAAAAGAAAAGGTTTACCGTTAGACCAGCAACCCAGTCCAGTAAAAAACACCACTGTTACTGAAAATCAAAAGCTAAAACGCATGTGTTCCACTTGGAATGTAAAGCAATGGAAAACAATATTTGAAAAGAGTATCTTCATAAATATGTTACTTTTTAACAGAACCAAATATTTTAAGGTAAAATGATCATAATAACAGACTCAACAGGAAGCTTTGTAAATATGTTAATGGAAGTGAGATAAAAGTCGGAAGAAAGTTGCGCGTAATCAGTTCACAACATGATTGTAAATGATGAAATTGTAGAATATTGGTGTGCAGTGTATGGGGAGGTGGACTTTGTAGACCTGTAACCCACGAAACTAATAGATCAGATGATTTGAGTTTGGAAGTGATATGTTTGGAAATCAGTCGCAATGGTCTACATGCATTTATATTTGAACATGCTATAGCACCGAACGATTACCTGTCTAAAAGTGGAAGCTGTCAAATTTTCCATCTTATATGTTGCATCAAACTAATTTTGTTCTGGTTTGGTTCAGCTATCCTGCTATGTTCTTAAATCGTATTGTGCCAGTACGAGGATCTTTCATGCTCTTTAACTATCAGAATACGTTTGATACATGAAATGAAGGAATACCATTTCGAATGGCAGTAATTCCATTCAGCATACTGAATTTGATTTACAGATCTCTGTTGAGTACAGTGAACTATCTCTCTTCTGTTTTCGAATGTTTATCGTTGTCCTGATACAATATGATATGAAATTTAGATGCATAATCCTCGTGGTAGTAATTTAGATGCTCGAAATCATTCCAAAAGCTTGCGTTAGCACCACCGTGGTTCAACAAACCAGTATTTCCATCTGCTAAGTATACAGAAACAACTCATTGTTTAAAATGTAAAACAGTGTGAAAATAAAACGAAAAATAATAATGTTAAATTAAGATGGAGTATCTGCACGTTTTGTGAAATGAATAACGAATAATTCTGGACTTATTAAAAATACCGAGGAAGACAAATTTCATACCCATCCGTAAGAAAGAGCAACTTACACATGTTCCATTAAAATGTTTTGTCCATTAAAGATGCTTCCAGTATCTACGAGTAATCAGTGTTGGCTAACGGAAAGTCAGGTTTATATTTTTCCCTGTTGATGTTGGTAGTAAACCTCCCATACTTTATGTTAGTGCTCAAAATGATAAAACGCTCAGTCGCCATTACTACTTGTCCATTGGCTATATCTAGTGGTTAAGAATAACCATCCTACTAACTTATAAATTTCCGCTTGGAGAGTCAGTACTTTTGAAAGTAGCTAAATGCAACCTACTTAGTAAAAGTAAGCTAAATTATCAAGTGGTAGTTTGTGGGGATTCGACTGATTTCATGAACTGATATCATTTAGAGAACCACTGGAGATCAGAAAGTACTGAACAGTGATTTCGTCCCAGTTTGGGACTCCTCATCAGTATGCACAGAGGAACTCACCAGGGATCGGACCCAGGACTACCAGGTTACGGGGCGAGTCAGTCGACCATTCAGCTACTGTGAAGGAATCCAGTGGCCCATGGATTCTAACTTCTGTCAATTCGCAACATTTAGCGCCACCGCCAACCAGTGTCATCGGCGAGTATTTCTCCTCACAGCCAACTTGGAGGACACCAGTGGTGACGGCTTCTTAATAAAACTCCAGGAACACCACTTTGTAACCAGTCAGTAGTGAGGATTAATGATTAGCGATAATGTGCTAGCGTTGACTGGTGAAAAACGGATGACTGGAACGTTACACATTGGAAGTACAGAATAAATTGTCCTAGCACTGCTGCTGGTGTTGGATGATAGAAGTGTGGTTAATTTGATCAAAAAACGAAAACAAATGGTGTGTAGGAAATTATGTTTGATTCACCTTTTTTAGTGACAGCTGTGACCATGTCACTTTAAGTTACTACTTCGAAAATTTGTTTCCAATACAAGGTAGATAATAACATTAGTGTTTGATAGCTTATTTATTTGTATATTTAAAGCTACTACTTATAATAACACATAACAAACAGTGTAAAGTACAAAAATAAACAATATTGTGACGTTTGCTACTGACAAGAATTTTAAGTAGTATAATGCTGATATCCGGAAGAATCTTGATTAGTTGAGCGAAGCATTAACTTGCCAAGAAGAAAAACAGAGATCACTAAGAAACAATGAAGAAAACACAAAATGAAGACAAGATTAGTAGAATATGAAGAAAAGTTTGTAAATTGAAATTCCAATCGAAAGTGCTCACATTTTGCCACCACTGTACATCATCTTAACGAATAAACATTTCCACTACCAACTACGACCAATTTAAAGTGGCATTGCAATATGAGTGACTAAACAGTACTCACAGGTTCAGGATAAAAGCTATCGCGGGGTATTTTCGCGCATAGTATTGCAAACATTACAACAGATATTCCAGCCGTATATATATATATATATTGCATATATTTTCTTTTATTTAGTTTACTTATTATTATTTTTACCATTCCTGTACGTTCCTAGTGGAATATGGGGCTTCAAGCTACAGACTTGAAGTTTCGGTAGCAGTGGTGTTTATTTTTAAGGGATGAGGCTGCTAGCCTGACGCCTAACCTTCCCTCTTTACCAGTTTTGTTACTGGCTTAGCGAGGTAGAGGAGTGCGTCGGCCGAGGATCGAACCTCAGACCACATGATATAAGTATAAAACTTGGGCACTGTGGTAGAGTATAATTGCATAATGGTTAAGATTTTATTTTGATAAATCACACAGTGTTGTACAGTTATATTAACTGATGACGTTTCGAGCACAAACTATTGCTCATAATCATATGATATGATTATGAGCAATAGTTTGTGCTCGAAACGTCATCAGTTAATATAACTGTACAACACTGTGTGATTTATCAAAATAAAATCTTATCCATTATGGACTCAGACCACATGCATGGTTGGGCGAGCATTCTACCGCTGTGCCACCAATGCACAATCAGTCTGCTTAGTTCTAGTAAAATATGACCTCTAGTAGTATTATTTACTCTGGCGAGTATTTAAAACATTTACAACCCTGTGATTCGCAATTCTCTACTAAAATTGAGAAAAAGAATTATCCTCAATGGCAGTTTATCCCAGTACATGACATGACTGTTCCTGAGTCGTGTCCTTGGTTCACAAAATGTACTCTTGAACTTTTCATAATTGACAATCAAAAAAATGTTGCATATTTGTCACAGGAGACAAATAAGAGATATCATAATGGTGGATTGGTTAGTGCTTCAGGCCAGAGAGAATTGTGTCACACTATCTACTGTCAGTTAAGATCCTGGACGAAGAGAAAACATCGTATAATAAACTCCGTTGAAAATTCTGTACATTATTTAAACACTGTTTCAGAATAAAGCTATTAATATATTATTAGTAGATAAATGGTGCTCACGCCATATCATTACCCTATATCCTCCACCTACTTACATAAATGACGGGAATTAATTAAACATCCTGACTACTTTCTATTTGAAGGACAGTTAACTAGATTTGGTAAATATTGAATTTCGTCTTAAATGGTGAATAAGCAAATTAAATTAAATTCATAGTTGAAGCAAAATTTACTCAGTTGTACACGATTTCCATGTTCATTTACACATATGTAGAAGTAATCGTAAGAAAGTGGTGATGGGGAACAATAATTCAATCTGAATGAAAGACAGTTTCGCAACTGAATTCAAACCATCAATATTTGGGTTTACAGCTG